TATATATATATATATATATATATATATATATATATACACAAATAAAAAAGATAAGGCACAGTGGGTGAGTGGAAAATCAAAAAATAGAAAAATACTTGACAAATGAATTTGCAACAAAATTAAATGCACCGTATTTATGATAAAAAAAAATTGATGGTTGATGGAGAAGTGAGAAGGAAAGCAAATACATTGGAACAAAAATCAGAGGCTAAACTAAACCCCAGAGAGCCATGATCCAAATAGAAAAAATAAAATACAAACCTATTTGAGAAGAACAAAAATGAAGGGTGGCCTGAGTGTAACATTTAGAAACAAAGACAAAAACTTGATCACAAAGAAGCGATTTTTTATTTTTTTTTTGTAAAAGGGGTATGAAAAATAAATTGAAAGGAGGAAGAGAGAAACTGACAGGGTATTGGCATGATGAATATCAGCTTCAAGCAGTTTCAAGGAGTCCTTGAAAGACCTTCCCATGGAAGCTATGTACATCTCTCTCTCTTTCTCTCCCAATCCCAAACAAGATTCTAAACCCAATTCCAAAACATACTACAAAGTACAAACTTTCATGTTTTCTCTCTCTCAACTCAACTATAGGCGATAGCTCTCACTGTCTCGCACACTCTTCTTCAAAGCCATCGTCAAAAGCTTTCGGTAGGACACGTGGCGCAGCTACCTTAAACTTTTTTTTGTTATTAATTAATTACGTAATTAAATAATATTAACTAATTCTTATCCACTTCACCTTATTTTTAGGCTTTGATAGCTTTCCCTCTACGCACCACTGATGGCTACCCATCCTCTTTCTCCCATTTATACCTATCTATTTACACTTTTGCCATTCTCTTCAATTTTCACTTTTTTTTTATACTTATCTATATTTTATTTATAAATTAAAATGAAAAATAAGAGCGAAAACTAAAAACATTATAAACTCTTCCATCAAAGTGGTTGCTGATTAATTTCTAAAATTATTTTTTCTTATTTAAAATTTTAAAGATAAAACTGTCTTAAAAAACGTGAAGAAAAAATGGTTATAAACATATGTATAATGTATTCCTAGATAATTGAGGAATGAAAATGTGACACTTATTTTCCTTTTTTGTCTATTTTTTTATTATTTATTAATATTTTAGCATATGTAATACATATATATTAATTGTATAATTATATTTTATAATAAATTATCTATAAATAAATATTATATTTGAATATATAAATTATAATTATGATAAATAAAAATTGAATTAAATTAAAAATAAATAAATAAAAACTACAAATTTTTTAGTTGATAAAAAATTCTTAAAAATATTCTTATATAAAATAAATATTTCTATTTAATATATAAAAGTTAATTATACTTATATTTTTCTCATTTCTTTCTCTTTCTCTAATATTTGTTCTCATTTCTTTTTTTTTCCCTCTAATATTTGTTAGCACCTCGTGTTCTTGCATATATATATTTTTATGAGTTCATAACCTTATACATAATACATTTATTTTTATCTATTAGAGTTCCCAACGATTGGAGAATGAATTATACCTTTCTATTCATTTGCGAAAAAACTTAATGGTTGATGTGGTTTTTCTTAATTTATTTAAAAATATGAATTTGTGCTTATTAACAAGGGTAGATTCATTGTAAAAGGATTAGTGTAAAGAATTGAGATAATAAGAATGGAGATATAGATTTTATTTTCAACATTATAATTATATAAAAAAAAAAGTATTATATTAGAATAGATTATTTCTTAGTTTTATAAAAAAAATGCTTTTACATTAGTCTTAAAAAAAACATTTTCTTTTATAAAAAAATTGTTTCACTTTTATTCATTTTGTCATATATAAAATTGGTTCTTAGTTTAAATGGTTTGACTCTTGTATTTTTAGTTAGATCTCTATTTTTAGTATAAAATTATGATTAAATATATTACTTTACTTTTTTAAGGATCAATCAAGTGAAAGTTGTATTTTTTTATAAAAAAATTATGAGGTTAAAATATAAAATAAAAAAAATTAAAATAGTAGAAATCAAAATTTGAGAGAATTAAAATAAAATAACTTAAATTAAAAGTATAAAAATAAAATTATTTTATTTAGGGACTAAATATCTATCTATTGAGCCGACATTATATAATACAAGCTTTTAAATATAAACAAATGCACTTATATGAAGTAAAAACATAAAATCTATAACTAATGTGTTAGAGAAAAAAGTTATGAAAAAATATAATTTTGTAAAAGTCATATAACAGCACAATCATTTTTACGGTGTACAAAATATAAGCATAATAATGAGTAAAAAAATACATATAAAATAAGATAAAATAACAAAACAAATCATAACGTATGAATATAAAACTATATAAGAAAATCGTGGGAAAAGGACATTACAGTAAAATTCTTTTTACATTACACATATTTCTTATATATTATATTAAACAAAAAATATTCTTTATTTCTTAATTCTAGTTATTTTTATTTTGATCCTCTCAAATTTAAAGTAAATTTAGAAGAAGAAAAAAACATTTTTTTAAAAATTTATACTAACAAGTTAAAAGTTTTAATAATATTTTTAAAAAATAAATTTATTATTAAATGAAACAAAACAAAGAGGCACATTTTCAACTTTTTTAAAAAAATTTAAAAAGCTATTTCATTTCATCCAAAGAGTAAAAGAAAATAGAATTTGAAAAGGCCATGAGTGACATATAATTTTTTTTATTAACTAGTTGCTTTTCATTTTGAAAGTTTTCAACTTTCCTTTTACTTTAAAAAAATATTAAAAAAAACAATTATAATTATTAAAAAATAATAATCACATTAATTTTTAACTATCGCAATGCCTAATGAATTTAACATTTAGTAAATAAAAAAATTGTACACAATTATACCACAAAACAATCACGTGATTTGTATGAACTAATAGAATAAGTAAAACATTAACTATTAATTAATTGTTGGTTTGGTTATGTAAATAATATTGACTAAAATTATATTTTAACTATTGTAATACCAAATGAATTTAATTAGAAAGATATTATAATGTATTTTATTAAATTATTATTCAATTAAAAATTAGCATATATAATAAAATTGTTAATTTTTATAATAATTATTTTAAAATCATATCTAAAATAATTTTTAATTATATAGTTAACCTAAAAAAATAATATTACAGTAAAAGTCATACCAATTTTCTATTTTCAAACATATATGTAACTTGATAGGTATATTTAACTGATAGTGAATTAGTGATATCTATTATCTATAGCGATATTTTAGTTCTAGAGAAACTACGGATATTTTTCTTTTTATCTAGGAATCAAATGTGATTCCTCATCCTCGAAAGAGGGCAAAAATATAATTGTTTGGCAATAATTCATGCATAATATAGATACAAACTTTATTTGTTACTCATATTTATTTATTGATTATCACATGTTAGTTAATAATGATTTATCATCACTGAAACGAAAATTGTTCCCTATATATGCATATCTTTTCTGTTTTCTAGCTTGCTTAATTTATTTCGCCTTTCTGGGAGCAGATAAAAGAGAGATCTTGTTTTTTAAAAATTTATTTCTCTGGGAAAACAATATAAAATTAAAAAGGTGAAAATTCATTATTTAAATCAAAATATTTAATAAATTAATTATGGACAAGTTTTATTTTTTTTTTTTTATATATAAATCTCTCATCTTATTTTGTTATATTTTCTAATACTGAATGTGTATATCAATTAGTACGATATTTTTTTTATCTTACATATTTTTTAAAAAAAATTCGTTTATAATAATTTTATCAAATTCAAATAAAATTGTTTTCAAATGAAATATTGTTTCCTTAAAAAAAATCATTCTCTTTTCTTCGTTTGAATATTATATGCTTGAGATTTTACTCTTGGTTGATGCAAAACTTCACTGCCATATATTTTGCACATGGTATGTATACAAAGTTTTGGATTCTTAAGGGACATAACGGTTGAATATGAAAATTTTATAACATGTCCTCATGTTTTTTTTAAAGTAATGTAACGGGTAAGGCTTAACATGGTATTGGACAAGGGAAAATAAAAGTAAATCAATCTGTCACGGTGAACTTGGTTAGCATATATCATGTCAAAATCAATTAAGCTTACATTAGTAATTCTATTCGAATACAATAAATTATTTTTAAAAAGAATATAAATTTCAGAACATTATTCTTGGACTTTTGTAAGGGACCACAAAAGAAGTCATTATTATTTAATTCCTCAATGATTCATGAATGCTACTAATTAAGTTGTAGATCAACCACATTCAGATAAATCATCCTTACTTTTTCAGCCAGTAATTAAGATTTATCATTCATGACACAGAGGACTATGGAGATTTTTCCCCTGTTTCTCTTAGTTGCATCACTTGCATGTTCAGAATAAATCCCAAGTTAATGGGTTAAAATAAGTTAAAATGATGTATAAGTAAGAAAAGTATCAAAATGTACCAAAAAAAAAATATATATCAGTATAAAATGTTAAGCTACTTGCTCTTCGACAAGAGTTGACATATCAGAATTTACATTTAAGAGTAAATTTTCAAAAAATATATTCATAGACACCTCATATTGGGTACTTAGAGAAAGGAAGAAAGAAATAAATAATATGATGTGATGTGATAAACAAAAAAATGTCTATAGAAATCTAAACAAAATAAGAAAGAGAATAATAAATTTTAGTAGCATCTATCTATAAATAATTTATGTGAATGAATGATTGTAAACCGAAATTAAAGAAAATGGCTCCCATAATTTTGTTGCCACAACAGCCAACAATCAACCACTTACCTAGCATCCATTACATTACTTATGATATGTATTTACTTCTTTTTTTTTATTTGTCAATGAGATGACCCAATAATTTATGAATTTTTGGTAAATCATGTGTTCTTTTTGTTCCAATTTTTAACAACAGAATAATTCTTTGCCTAACCCTTTCTGCTCTGAACAATTAGGATCCAACTAATCGGACAAATCAATTAGGGTCTAATTCGAAGACTTTGTGGAAGAAAAAAAATGTGTTGTCTAATTAGCTTGAGGGAGTATAATAAAGTATAGCTTTTATCACGATTTTTGTTCAAGCTAAATCGAATTTGAATCTTTAATTAAAATACATGTGGTGAATCATTTACTGTTCATTGAAGATGAAACTTTTTCACTCCGCAAGTGACTCTAACTAAGAAGAGGTTTCAGATTTTACAATTTTGCTGTTAAAATGCAATGAAAAATACAATAATTCTTGCTAAATTACTGGCGGTATGAGTATCAAACAATGTGGCACTGAAAAAGATTTAAGATAAAACCATGATTAGCAACAGTGACCATTGATTAAAGCCTTATGTTCTTCAATGGTGTTATTAAACGCACGCAATATATATTTGCCACTGTCGTTTTCTTCAAATAGAGTGCTTTTCAAGGTAGCCCCGCTAATAAGGGAACCCCATCTTATGAAATAAGTTGAATCATAAACTAGGACTAGGATGCCATCAATGCAACTTTTTCTTTATGCAAAATTCTATCAGTCCCTTTTTTATTTCTGGAGTTTAGAAAGTCGATACTTTAAATAAATAACATTAGAACGATACAAGATTATTTATCTATTCCTAAAA